ATAATTTTTATATTGTCAGCCATTGCATGATATCGCAAAGCAAATTCTACTTGACTAATTGCTGTAAGTGACAGCGATCTCATGGTTAAGCGACATAACTTGGATTTTAATCAATTTGCTAAACGTTAAACAGTTTCTTGAGAAAATCTGTATCTTTGTTGATACTCATCAGCATCAAATTCAAAATGAAAATGTCTAAACATTCTCTTTTTCCTTTGTTGTCTGCCGAAATTCATGACGAACAACGACCTAGCAGTAATAATTATCCACTGGTTAAGGGACTTAACCCACCTCTGTGGAGTGGCTAACTTTGGACAATATTTTACCACCGGATAGCAAAGTTAACCAGTGGATAAATTTTGAGCAACAGAATTAAACCAATGGTTAAAAGTTAACCACTGTATAAGAGATTTAACCAGTGGTTAAAGCTAACCAGATTTTTAAGCAACACAGTCCTGATCTCTGAACATTTCGAAATGCATTTAATATTATAACCATCAACATCAGCTTCACTACCTATTCATATGAGAAAAAACAACAACGTTGATTTCCTGATAAAATTTTCTATCATCTAATTATCTGAAATTTAGTACATTCATTTGAATGTTAATATTTTAAATAAGCATATATTTTAGTTGAGATTCTTCTTACCATATCCTTGTTAAAAATCCGATTTCTTTTTATTTATTTATTTATTTCTGATAAGTGCAAACATATTACTCTCTTAAATATATTTGCGTTTGTCATATCCCCATCATATATTAACCAATTTTAGAAATCGGTCTGCAACTTGCAATGTATTGTTTATTAAAAACATAAAATTTTCTTTAAATTTTTTAGACAATTTTCTTTTTTAAACTAACAAAAAGCCCTACACATGTCGGACAATCAAAATATTAATTAAAAAGTATGTATCTGCGTTTGTATTTTGTCCCCACTTCCAATGCAATTCAGGTATGTGAAAAACTTTTCTTAAAAAAAGTGATAAGGTGTGCCGTCGAATGCATTCAATATCTAAATATATTCATTATGGATGCCTAAAACGTATATTAACTTTTTTTGTACAGTCTCTAATCCAGTAAAATGTCCCTTACAAGAAAACTCAGTCAATAATAGCAAATATATTTAATTTTCTGATAGATTAACTTTTATTCAAACTTTATTGAAAGTAAGCATATCTTTTTCACAAAATACATGTACTAGCATTCAAATAAAAAGTAAACTGTAAGGCATCGTCCTTTGATTTTGAGAAAAAGTTTTTCCACTTTCAGTTTTATTCGAATTATCCCAGTCTTCTGAATCTTCGAATTCTTGGGATAAATCTTCTCACAGGTCTACTGGGAATTATGCGTCGCACTCGTCGTACAATTCTTCTGATTCCTCTCCCGATAAGCAGAGTCTCTGACTCTTCAACATGTTGAACTAAAAGCATCACCACCAAAATCAGCACTAATGCACCTTTATTCTGAAAGGGAATAAATATATACTTACATTGTTTGGAAATTGTAATAAAAAATTTGATAAAAATTGAATTTTGTTCGTATATCAATAATGGAAACTAAATTCAACTTACCATGCTTTTCGATGAGGATTAGCAACGTTTTCTCAGAATGTTTCAAAAATTGAAAACATCGCTTGCTTTAATACTCTTGCTCACGTCATTACTTATATGAGAATTATGCACGTTTTAAGTTCTTCTATTGCTCGTGATTTATAGTCCAGATCATTACAAATGATGACACATGAAGGTCCTAAATTAATTAATAATCAGGTTCTAACATTCTGGGTTTCACACTGAAGTTACAAATATACATTCATAATCAGTTTTAAACCGGAAAAAAAGATTGTAAAATAATTAATGTTTACTTTATAAGGGAAGGCTGATGCTATTATGGACCCAGGTCTAATTTTTTTTACACCAATTATAAAATTCTGGTTATCACATGTCTAGAAAAAATGGTTATTTTAGATGACGATGAACATTATAGCAGGTATGTAATTGTTAAATACAGTGTCATGGAGTATATACAAGACGTTTTATATACATTTTTATACCCCCTTCTTGAAAAGCGGGATGGTGAATAGTAATCGTTATGTCCGTCCGTCTGTCCGTCCGTCCGCCCAGCTGTACGCCCGGCTGTTACGATTTGGGGTTCCCATCTCTTATCCACAAATCCTTTCATACCACTGAATGAAATTTGACGAGACTTTCACAGAATCTTTATTACACATTGCCATTGTGACCTCCTATTTTACTTTTTGATCGGACACATAATTTGCGTTTCCCATAGCAAAACATGGTCACTACCATTATATTCATATGGGAGGCGGGGGTATCTTTTAGTGAGCTCATTGCTCACAGTGCCTCTAGTTTTCATTGAAATTAAGACTTTATACCCTGTCTATTGGATCTATACGTCGTTTTATACACACAGAGACAATCACTTAAGTGCCTGCACAGACCTATTTTGTAGTATTTCTCGTACAACTTGACTTGAGATCTATTTTTAAAGATTTGAAGACTATATCATCTTTGTGTATTTTTTCTTTTTTAAATTTTGCAAAGAATGATTGTAAACTTTATATCCTCAAAATTGGGATATACATGTTCAGAAGACTATTTTGTAAAATTTATGTTCTTAAAAATGATAAAATATGTATTTTGTTAACCTTAGATATAAGTATTTCGGGGTTTTTTTCTTGAATGCCGCTGGTAGATTCAACACAATTTTTCATGTTTTTCAAGGAAAATTTTAAAATTCTCTTAGCAAATGATTATTCTTCTTATTTTTGTGTTTTTATAATGTAAATGTAAAAGGGAAATAAAGAACTGAAATTGAAATATGGTGCATGCCTTAATAAAATGCAAGTTCAAACTTCTCTGTTATAACTTTTGACTGTCTAATTTTCAAAGTACCCGAAAAAGGTTGTGTGAAAATAAGCATGGAAAGGCAAGCCTTTTATCGGCGTTTTGATTAGTTTATTAGTTATTTAAAGTATTCAATTGATAAAAAATATTAGTTGGAAAGAAAATATTAAAACTTCTGACCCACCGTAAGTAAATATATTACTATCATTAGTATATACTTATCTATAAACAAAAATATATTATTCCTTTTACAATTTTTGACTCTAATTTAATCAAATAATTTACAGAAAAGACGCTTATATCTGAGGAAATATTATTTCTATTAATTGGTCTGAATCAGCATAAGCATAAAAGAAATGTAATCTTATTATTACATTTTAAAATTCAGTTGCATAGCTTATCTTCAGAAAGTGTGTCATGTTTAATTGCATTTAATTAGTTGCATTACTCACTGAAACACTAAAATAATAAATTTGTGGTTATCCTCAAAACTCAGAAAACGGACCTTCTGTTTGGACGATCTAATAGTGAGATGTCGTTACATCCCACACATTCATTTTACCTACCTTATTCAATTTTTAAGGGAACATTTTTTTTTGTTTTGATGATAAATCATTTCAGATAATAAGTAAATATTGTATTCATAAAAACGCAAAATTTATGAATGAAAAAACTACCTTTCCTTTAGATTTAATGTACAAATCAAATGTGAGCAATATGATTCTGAAGAAGTAACTCTTTTTATAATACTATGTTTTTAATTATAGTATGTTTCAATGCGACATAAAGCAGCCGAAATTACTGATTGCGTTTAAAAGGCAAGTTTCCTATCACCTTTACTTACTGTAAATCACTTTTTATTCGTATTTAATAACGATATGCTTTTTTTAGTATTCCATAAGAATATATATCTTATAAAGAGTCAATGACAATATCGCGAAAATAAGGTGTCGCGAAAAATTAGTGATCTACAGTATTTAGATATGCTTTTTTTAAGTAAAATTACTTAGAATGTACTCGTGTTTTTATAGCTATTTCTTTAAATTGATCTATAAACCATGGCTGTTGCACATCTATATGTATTTAAGGATTGAATTCTAATCTGAGGGTCGTTCACAAAATTACGCGGACTCTGCTATTATTTACTCTTACAGACGTCATATAGTTTTGAAATTTCATAGAGATATGTATCTTTAATATTCCAATAAATTTTGGGCAAAATTTCTGTGTTTTGAAAACTTTCTCCTAAAAGTATCGTTGTGTTAAAACAAAAGTATGCGGAATCCAAAAAATAATTCATTTATTTTCTATGATTATTTATTTTTCGACAATTTTCACAAATGTATCTTTATATTTTTCTATTACGAAGTACCGTATAAGAAGAATTTTTAGAGAGGATTTAATTTTGGCATTATTAGCGAGGGTGCTGGGATGGCTAAAATTTCATATCGCTAAAAATTAAGTGCGTTTTATTTGTAATAGCTTCCTTAGTGAGCATTTTAAAATCGCTGAAATTGCATCTAGCTAAAAATAAACACCGATTTTTAAGGACAAGTCGCTAAATTTGCGTCTCGCTAAAATTCCCACTTATACGATATGTAGATTTCTGATGTATTATTTTAATTTCTGACACAAATATACTGCTTTTTCTCAGATGCAATTCCTGTGAAAACGACTGTGGAAATGACGTCTCCTGAATTGACGGAGCCCCACACTTTTGTTAACTTATGTGTAATGCTCGAGATATTGCCAACATAGATTTAAAATATGTGCATAATAAAAGGTGTAGTAAACTTGGGTATTAGTGACATTTGTCTACAAATAGGAAATTGGAATTTTAGACCTTTATACTTCTGTAAAAAGGCTATACGGGAGGGCGGGACGAATCTTGTCGACGAAAACTTTATCCGGACTGTTAAGAACGTGATTGAGAGTGATCCAATGTCACACTATATTTCATAAGTACCTGCAGTCTTTGGTTTTAAAACAAAAAAGAATATGTTTTACATGTTTTATAGATTTTGAGCTTGACAAAAAATGGTGTATGGATGTTAAAAAGAGAGAATAGGTAACTCAGACTGTACGTACAGGTGTAATAGAGTGAAATTTTACATGTTTTTAATGAATTTATTTTTCAGGTATTTTCTTTGATTTTATGATCATTTTCAGAGTTTAAATTGAAATATTTAAATAAAGATTTATTTCATTCAAACTATAAATTAAAGTATGTGTTTTGTTATTTTATCATTTATGAAGTCTTACAGGTAAAGTATTTAGTTATCTTTTGGGTTTACCTGTAGATTTGTAGCTATTTATAGATCTGGTTAGATAGTGGTCATTCTGGATTGGTCAGGTGATTTTAGGAGGGAATTCTATTCTTGTTTTTCATGCCCAAGCGTTCTGATGGGTGTGTATGTTCTGAGACATTTTTAGAAGTTTTGGTTTGATCAGTACTTGATATTCCTAGTTTGAAATAAGTATGGACTGAGATTATTCCTTTACCAGGTTAGTGTTTAGTTTAGGTTTTCACATTTCTTTATTTTCCCTACTTTATCTACTTTGTGTGAATGTTTGAATGTTAGACTGAGTATGCTAGGGAGTGAATGTCTTGTGTGAGATTTGTGTGAAAGCTGTAAATAAGTAATGTAAATATAATAGCATTAAATAAAGTTTATTTTATTTCTAAATAATTTGCTAAAATTAGAATGGAGAAAATGAGTGTTTTTAAGTTATAAAATTTTGAAGTAAACAAATTCCTAAAGTATTCATTTTTCTAAATAATTCCCTACATTGAGCAGTATATCATTTTTTACATTTAGAACACGTACCATATTATTGAGACAGCTGAGTTTTGTATATATACTGTAGCAGACCTTTGCACCTCATGGGAGGTAAGGTTAACTGTGTGTTGATATAAAAATGAACACAGCATCATTTTTAAATATTGATGAATTATAGGCTATTTTTGAAAGTATTTAAACTCATTTTTCTTTATTTGTTCAATTCATGTAATTTGAGAGTTTTGCATGAGGTTATCTGTTATTTGAAATTTACCTAGTTTGTGTTCATCAGAAACTATGAATATTCTAAGCTTATTAATAATGAGTTTATGACAAACATTGTTGTTAAAAAGGATAATAGTTTACGTTGGAAATTTTGGTTTTATTTTATGTTAAAACTGCTTTGCTTGTGAAAATTTGCATGCAGAGTTATTGTTCTTGTATTTATAATTTTAATAAGTATTACAGGGTCATCTATCTTTACCATACATCTATAATGGGCAAGATTGCACCATCACAATAAACCCACGTATTTAACCAGATGGAATGTGTTTTGTTGTGTATTTCCACCCGGTTTCACAGGGAATCTTCGGAAAATCTTGAAAAAATAAAAGCTCATATTTTTTTTATAATGCCCGTGACGTCGAAGATTTTGCTGCTCCTTGACATAATGATGTGTCCTGATAAATCACCCAAAATTGATATCAGTTTACAACATTTTGATATGAAATTTTGAAGACCATATAAGTTTGTGACATTTTGCCCGAATATGTCGTCAAATATTTTTTTCTGTGCAACAAGTCTGCGTAATTTTTTAAAGGCCCTCGTACATTGCATTGAACTCGGAAGATGTTGCCCGGCCATGCTTTCAAACATTATCAGTTTGTCAAAATGATAATTTGTCGGCAAGGACAGGTGCTGTTCAAAGATTAACGACATCGAAAAGTAAGAATTCAATATTTCTAGTAGTGAGCTGTCAGGAGGGAATGCCTTATACAACTACGCACCTATGGAGTTTCCAGGGGCCATGTGCTTAAGTCCTGTTGACAGATTTGTGTTGTTTAAAGTTTTTATAAGATCAATCACTGTCCCTTATCTTCACCCGTTTTATTCATTCTATTTTAGTATTTATTGAGCACCTTTTAGAAATCAATTTTTGATCTAGGAAGTTAGTTTATGTGAAAATGAGTCAATGCAATATAAATTTTCTTTTTATGTTCCAATTTATCAAAATAATATGTAGTTACCTATTTTAATTCTATCGTCCCCTGACAAGTTTTCTGTACGTTATAGAGAAGGGACTGTCATAGATTCCCATTAAATTTCATAGAGAAAATTACATTGAATGCTAATTTTGCACTTCACGGTCATTTCAATATTCAAGCATTTGAGTTATATGGTGTAAAAACGTCGGAAAACTGTCTCTATCATTTCGTAACATATAGTCAGGGTTTATGAATTTATTAGAGAGCGTTGTGATTGATTGATTGATTGATTAATTGATTAATTGATTGATTGATTGTATGTTGATTAACTTCCTCTCGAGAACCGACCGACGACACGTACACACATTGTTAAGTTGAGTATTGCAGACAGAGACATTAGCAGGGATTTGAAGAATCTTTTGCTATTTTATTTTGTGTCAAGGTGGCTTATATACTCTATCTATCTTAGATAGGAATTTCTTAATATCACGGTTTGTGGAGAAAAACAAAATCGGGCTCTAATATAATTAGTTGTACATGTACATATATTACATATCATTTTCATTATGGAAAACATTAATTTAAATGCATCACTTAGGCTATTTTATCAAATAGATTACTGAGTATTTATAGTATTTTACCATACATTTTAGTTTTAAAAATGGTTATAAAAATAAATTTGTAAAAAAAAATTTACACATTTTCTTCAACAACAATTGATCTCAAAAGAGTATAAAATCTTTGTGTTGTTAATTTAAGATTATATATTTGTCTTTGTCTGTTTTAAGTTTGTTGAGAACTAAACTATTCATACAAAATGAATTTCACTAAATTTTCCAGGATTACAAAACGTCTTACACGTGTATTTAAATTGACCATATTTGGACACATCCTTAATACCCTAACGAGGTAAAATATTTTTTCTCAGAGAAAATTAAGAGTAAAAATAAGAAGTCTTATGACAATTTATTCTATATTTGTCTCGTTAAATCCTTTATGTTATATCCTGTTTATGATTTATATACAAATAATGAACTTTTTCTGTCAGCGTGTATTAACACATGGCATGCATCTTATGCCTTGTAGTGAATTCGTCCAACTCTTGACAACTCCGCCTCCTTGAAATTAATTTTTCCATTTACTTTGCAAAGACTAAACGATTTATACCATAATTGCAGTAAAAAATATTTAACGATCGATTCGATTGGACAGAACAAATCTTTGTATAATCTGTGTTGCTTATGGTTGGATGCTTCTTACATTTCTTGTTTTTTAAAATTAATGAAATTTTCATAGTTTCAAGAAAACAACATCAATTTAGGTGATGGTATCAGTTAGAATAAGTTTGACAGATTTATATATTAGAGACAAGGTCTTGTATTTTCCACTGACATGCACTTTTAACAGGTCTGGACGATTTCTAAATAAGGAAGTCAAGAACGATAACTGTGAATTGCTATTAATACACGGAATAAACAAGGCACTAATCCCTCTGACCAATCACATAACAGCATTTAGACAAACCCATGAGAAAATAAATAAAACACGTGGTTTTTAAGTTTTTTGCCCAAAAGATTTATTTAGTACAAAATTTTTGTAAACTTTATGCGCATTTGGGAATAATATTATTTTTATGACAATTCTACCGTGAACAAACACGACTTGAAAGCTTAGAATACGTTTCAAGTGGGATAAAAAATCTGTCTCTAGGAGGTAGCAATCCCAAAAGTTTAACCTACGTTAAAAATTTGATATAAATACGGTAAATTTTCAGTTTTTATAGCCTGACATAAAAATCTTATCGAAAAGATATCAGTCTTTATCATTTTTGAATGTTTATTACAGAATAGTCCATGTAGTTTCTGATATGCGAGGTAAGATACTGGGATAAAACGCATTCATGTACATGTATAATTACAGGATTCTCTTTTCTCCACGTTATAAGCCTTTCCTTATGCCCATTTAAAGTCTGCATAGCTAAGTATTCGGCGCTCATGAAACCCGTGATAATTTAAAACTATATGTGTATAGTCCATACGTATACGATAAACACTTGTGTGAGTTAATCTATACACATGGAATTTAAGCATTATCGATGAAAATCGGACGGCTAAGCAAAATTATATTTACCATCGTATAATATATTCTGGTAAATGTTATAACTGAACTTGATAAAAACTTGTTGGTGCAATCTATACATCTGTAAACGATTATATTCTATCGTGCATTATTTTTTTTCTTTACCTAGATAAAAATGTCAAGGTTGTTCACGGTAAAAATGTGGGAATACCTTATTCTTCAAAAGTTTTCATCTTACTTCTACAGATTTTTTGTTTAAAAAATCTTTTTGAGGAAAAAAACAAAAGCACGTGTTATCTTTTTGTTCTTTTAAAATACGTTTTGGGGTGTGTTGCTGTTGTCTGATTGGACAGAAAAATAATTACGTGTACTTGATGTACATTTATAGCAACTTTTGGTTATCGTTCTTGACTTCGATATTTAGAAATCGTCCAGACATGTTTAATGATAAGGAATTTGTGTTTAGAAAAACAGTCAATTTCATAGTGAACAGTTATTCGAATATCGTTGAGCTTTTACAATCTTTGTAGCCGTACAAATGTTTTTTTTTCCTTATTTTAAACGTCACATGACAAACAGTTGGCACTGGAACCATTAAACTGAGATGAGCTCACTTTTGATCTCAGTCTCGCTATTTCGAAAGGGACTTATAGCGGAAAAGTGAGACCTAGATCAAAAGTGAGTTCATCTCTGTTTTATGCCCCCAGAGCCTGATGTAAGTGAAGTCGCTTGGCCAAACTCGGCAGAAACCCCATGTATACATATGCAATGGTAGAATACAAATCAAATCAAAATTCATGCTAAATAAAAAGGTAAATAAAAAGTTATCTTTTGGCAGCAGAACCATTGTCTCCAGATAAAATTCTATTCATATAAATATTTCTATGCTGGTTTTCCAAAAAAAATTCCAATATCAGATTCACGAAAACGGAAGGAATCGTGATTTGAACCATGTCATTAGCGACTATACCTTTATGAATCGTCCTATATACTTACAGCATCTTTTGAATGAAATAAATGCACAATTAATTATGAAGCTACTATAATATTCAAGTGCAAATAGCAATCATGTCTTGATGATCACAGATTCCCTGTACATTCATAGAACGATATACCCTTATCTATTTACGTATACATTCTCATGCAATGAAGGTCCAGTAATCCTTATATGAGTACCATCCACTGCCCCATTGACTTCAGAAAAAATTGCTGTGCTATAGATACCGCTTTTGATGTTGTTAATTCAGAAGTGGTTTTGACCTTTTACAAAGTCACCAAGAGCCTGAGATACATCTCGAACATCCCTACTGACGATGAAACTCCATCGTAACTCCTATAGTTTTCATCATATTGTTAACCTTTGCATAATATCGTAGAGCCATTTTTTACTTGACTTATTGCTGTGAGTCTGATCTCATAGTTGAGTGACATAACTTGGAGTTTAATAAAGCTTTGAGGAAATCTGTATTTTATCCTTGGTAAAATTCCGATTTCTTTTTATCCATTTCTTTTTATTTTTTTTTTTAGATAAGAGCAAATTAAAAATATTAATTTCTTTAATATCTTTGCGTGTGCCATAGCATCATGATATGTTAACGCATTTTAGAAATGAGATTGTGACTTGCAAATGTATTGCTTATTAAAAAGCAAAAATTTTCTTTGGACGAGTAAAAAGTTTGGATATTTGTTTTCAAACCAACAAAAGACCCAGCACAATTAATATACTAATTAAAAAATATGTACCTCCGTTTGTGTTTTGTCCCCACTTCCAATGCAATTCAGTTAAGCAAATCAAAGTACTCAGAAGTACAGAGAGCCGGGCTCATTTACAGAGTAGAATGGATTTCTTACATGAATCACGTTTATATTCTGATGAAAAAATCAAATCATTTCAAAACTATCAATATAAATGATAAGACACTGACAGTGAGTTTTTCAATCCTAATACCACGGTCCGATTTTGTCAGAATCTAGAATTAATCTGGTACCGCAGCTGAATGTAAACAAACAAGCCAGTCTGGTTCCCTCTCCTGCTTTACCTCGAATGTGTCGAGACCACTACGGTAACACTGATTATCAAAAATCCTTACGCTAATGAACTATGTTCTTTGACTTATGAAGTTTTCAAAGTCATTACTACTAATGTTTATTTTATGTAGATAAAACTTCGTTTTATTTTTGTTGCTTTATTTAGCGTTTGTGTTATCTCAAAAGCGGCTGAGAGTAAGAACTATATTTTTGCACGTAACTTTAAAATGGCGACTATGGGGTCAACATCCTGCCTTGAAC